TTGTCCCATTCAATTACACTAGTGTTATCTTTTGAATTTAGAAATAGAAGTTATTATTAAATGTTGGTGGTTATTATTAAGTTATTATTAAATGTTAGAAGTTATTATTAAATGTTGGTGGCTCATCATGCAGTGCATATGAGAAGGGCATGCTTTCAAAGTAAGTATAATTTTACTATAAATAGAGCATTTTTAATACCGCAATTATATTGCATACTTGATATACATAAATATATACGCTGGTCACAACAATCCAGTCAAAAATTTCTTTAAAAAAATCAATTTAGAGTTGAGAAATTCGTATTTTTTGATGTTTGATGTTATGTTTGTAAAATAATAATTATATATATGTGTGTGTGTGCGTGTGTGTGTGTGTTATTTCTTTTTACCCCCTTTTATTTTTACATACTTATCTTGACAATATTTTTTTAGGGTTAAGACTGCTCCCCTGATTCCTACAGCAAAAAAACAACTTAAAAATGCTGGTGATAATATTTTAAAGAGTGCACTTGATCGAAAAGAAGGTGAATGACGTCAACTGTTCGAACATTCGATTCTTGGAAATTAACAAGTGGAAGAAGAAGTTTATAAAGTTGTAATTTATAAAACTCATCACAATTATATTATTAAAAAATTTAAACGATTTATTATTTTTTTCTTATTCTCAAGAAGTTCTGTGAAAACATATATTTGAACCTTACGTTTAAGTAAAGCCATGTAAAAACACGTATTTTAGACGTAGAAATAAGAACGTTTAAATTAGGTTGTTTAAAGACGTCATTTGGCGTTTCCATTTAGCACTAGTTCTGAACGTCCTAAATTCACGTATTTTAGACGTCTAAAAACACGTCTTTATTCCGTCCTAAAAAGACGTCCTAATTACGTCTAAAAAAGACGTCATCTGGCGTTGCCATTTAGAACCAGTTCCGGACGTCCTAAAAAGACGTCCTTTCAACGTCATATGGACGTTTCCGTGCCCGCTGGGTAATTTTTGTTAATTTGTCTTGATGGTTGGACAAAGAAGGGTTTTAAAGCATAGTTCTGGGAATACCTGCGTGTTTATATAACACCATCATTGATCAAACACTTCATGTTTTCCTGAATTTGACGGCAGAACGTTTAAAAGAATACCTTGACCATTAGAGTATTTGAGAAGATCAAGTTATGTTGGTTGCTTCAGACAATGGGTCTATTATGGTTAAAGCCATTAGACTATTACAGCAAACTATTACGCAATCATAAAACATGACGAGTCTGAATCTAAAGAGTTAAAATGTCTGAACATGAAACAAATGACAACCCAGTGGGCACAGGGCGTAAAAAAGACGCCCTTAGGACGTTCAAATCGCGTCCGTCCGTCCCATAAAATTTTAAACGTCATTTGAACGTCTTTTTTTGCGTCATGACATGACGAGTCTGAATCTAAAGAGTTAAAATGTCTGAACATGAAACAAATGACAAACTTATTCTTATTTTTTCCCGACAGATTTACCCATGCCAGTACAGGGTATTCGATGATATTCCATATCATCGAATGCCCTGTATGACTCAAATGTTTCAGCTTCTTATAAAACCATATTACGAACATTATAGTGCAACTGTTTTAGAAACGGTATAGGTTGTATCAAAAATTAGAAAATTGAGGGTGGCAGTTGAGAAACTTATTGACAAGTGTAGGAAATCTGTGGTCACTGGCTACATAATAAAATGGAGCTGTACATATCAGATGATTAACCAACCTCTATACTTAACTTGGAATGTCATCTGCAAGAATATCCTGCGAACAAGCCTTTGACAGCTAATCTTTTTGGAGAACTACGTCGCAGGTTTAAAATAATTCTGTAGCCTAACTCAGATACATTTAATCCTCTTTGATCCAACCAACGCTGTCTTTGTTCTTACGCCGGTATTGGGCACCTTGCTCCATGCAGCAAATATGTATATAGCAAATGTTCGTGGAGATGAGTCAGAATTACACGCAGATGCCGAGTCAAACAGATCTGAATGTGAACTTACTGCCAAGAAGCGCTTTGAATTCTTGTCGAATAAAATCTTTTCACAAAAAAAAAAACTGTTAACAACCAAGACAATTTCACTGTTGCAGGTCAATTGTCAAGATATTTGGCAGACATAAAGTGTAATGACGCTCTGCCAGGTAACGGATTACTTGGAAACAAAACAAAAGCAAGTATAGTAAGATTGCAATGTTGGCTAAAGATTTGTTGTCCACCTGTTTTTTCACTTTAAAAGGATTTTTTTACTTTGTGGAATTTTAACTGTTTCACGCCGTAATTGAATAAAAAAATCATCAGAGACAATAGTTTTTATGAAATTAAACAAGAAAATATGATTGAAATTCAAGGATACATTTTCTTACAGTTTCATATTAAAACTCATCTCAATTCAATTGAACTGTTGAATTTTACAATTATTGGTTGGTTATTTACATTGTATTATATTATATTAAGAAATTGTTTTAATACTGTTGTCTTGAAAGTTGGATAATGATACTTAATAAGTTAATATCCTGTTAAAAACTACTAAAAAACTTGGTAGAACATTAACTGAATTAGAAACTGAAATAAAAAGTGAAATTGTTAAAAAAATAAGAACTGAACTGAAGCTAAATTTAAAAGAGCTGATTTAAAACTGAAATACGAATTATTTTATAAGTAAAATCAGAATTAGAAATTAAATCAACGCCACAGGAACTGAATAAACACTGAAGTAGAAATTACATTTCGAACGTAAGTAACACTGTTTTACACGTGATATTTATTCAGAAATTTATTGAGATTATTGTTCGCATATTTCAGCTGTTAAGAAGACTTAGTAGTTTGACGGATGCAAGCAATACACAACATATCAAGAAAAAAATAAACAAACTTAAAAACTTTTGTTGAAAAAGTTCTGATTTCACCGATTCGCTGGGACAAGACCTGATTTTTTCTTGGAGCAACAAGAAAAAATCAGGTCTTAAGTAACAAGAACGTGGTTCTTTATACTTTATTTCTTATTCTTTGTATTTTAAAAATATCTTCTCTTATAATTTTTCTTCTTTCGTTTATTTTTATCTTATATATTGTAATAATAAAAAAGTAAAAAGAAAATTAACTCAAAAAAAAGAAAAACTTTTAAAACAAGTAAGTAAGTAATACTTGGAAATTATTTTTAGTGCGCTTCACATTCTTCATTTTTAGTTAGATTAGTTTCCGCTGAATGCTGCAATAAAAGGGGAAAAAAAACATATAATAAAACTTTTTAGTCGTAATAAGTGTGGAGGTTTTCTCTGCTATGTGTTTTTTAAATGAACGGTCTGCCTGCATTTCTCTATTCTGTCTTTTTTTAAATCGCTAACTTCCTACTTTATACTTTAGTTACTTCTATTTTTCCAAAAATCTTTTATCTTAGCCAAGTATCATTGTCAAAGTGCTCCAAAAGGAGAATGTTGTCGTGTATCCGGGTTTTGGTAAAGAGGTGACACCGCAACGCATCCGTTGGAGTAGGATAAACCACAATACTCTGCAATGAAAGTGCTATTTTAATTATATCATTAAATATTTATTTTTAGAAACCAATATCAGTTTGCAGAGAGCGTTTACTTATTTGGTTACTTATTCGGCTAAATACAGAGCTGTTGCCAGAAAAGTAAACATCACCAATCTGTAAGTCAGCAAAGCCATTGTAAGCAAATCGGTAATTAAAATTGCTTGTTATAAAATATGCACGGTATTATAAACAGCATACTGTAAAATATACACGCCTGATAACCAAAACTAATTAACAAAACTAATTAATAAAACTTATATAAGATTCATGAGAAAACTGCACGCGATACTTATTACTTTTTGGAAAAAATAACGTGTGGCTTGAAAAAAGAAGAAAAAATAATTATTTATCTTAATTTTAAAAACAAAGCAATTTAGATTTAATTGGTTTTTGATTTTTTATAATATGTCAGGCTCGAAATGTTTTCAAAAAAAAGTAATTATTCTTAGAGACACTAATTGTGGTTTAAATTCGAATTTGTTGGGTGAAATGGTCATGTTATATAATCAAATTAAGCAAAATAAATTATTGAGAGGTTACGTCATAATTTGACTTTTGAAAAAAATGTCTGTTCGCAATTTATTTATTAATTAAACATTTTTTAAATTAGTTCAAACTGTCTAATGCTTTATTTATAAAATGTCATGTTTATAAAATCGAATCGTGTCACTTTTTAAAATAAAAAATGTCTCATTAAAATTTATCTTCAATTAGTGAACTGTTTTTGCTAATTAGAGATTTATTTCATAGGATTTTAAGATTTATATTTTTAATTTAGTCTCACATTATCGTTTATTTAAAGAGTTTTGAAAAAAGGTTGTGTTTTTTTTTTTTACTTTAATTTTTTTTTGATACTCATTTTAAGATCAAACTTCTTTACTTATTCATGCTCTCTAATATCTTTTTTTATTAAATATAATATTAGCTATTACTACTAATTTTATAAAAATCCTCGTAACATTTTTATAAATTATACACTTTGTTGTAAAAAAAATAAAAAGTAAATTTTAGATAGCAATAACTAAAAAATGAATAAATTTTTTGTTTATAAGTTCATACCAAAATTGATATATATATATATATATATATATATGTATATATATATATATATATATATATATATATATATATATATATATATATATATATATATATATATATATATATATATATATTATTTAAGTGACATCTTTAATAAGAAAAGAAATAAATAGTATGATACCGTATATGATGTTTAAATGCTTATATTTACACATACTATTAAAGATGTCACTTAAATAATATATATATATATATATATATATATATATATATATATATATATATATATATATATATATATATATATATATATATATATATATATATATATATATATATATATATATATATGTATGTATGTATATACGTATTTTCAAGAACTATGCAAACTCCAAACAAAAGTACGTTAAATGAGAGTGTTTTGCAGAAAAACATGGTGATTTTAGCCTGGAAGCAAAATACCTAAAACGTGTACTTCCCCCGCCTTTATAACCCTCTATCACTAAAAGATTATTAAATGAAATTAAAATCCCATCAATGAATTTGATTTTTTTAATATTTATTTAGGTGCCCCAAGAAGTTCTAATGGTTTTGTCACAGAGCACCACGAATCTGGATCTCCTGCTTATAAAGCAAGTGCTCTAATCACAGCACCGCGACCGCAAATTTAGTATAATATGCTAAAAAGTATATATTTTGTTAACTCGTTACCCTCACATTCGGGGAGGAAGCGGTACACTTTTTAGCACAGTTTTGTTCCCAGGCTCCAATCACTGCAATTTTTTGCAAAACATTCTCATTTGACATTGGTATGACGATACTAAAGTTTTGAGTTAGAACAATGTCTGGAAGTGTCAAATTTGAAACATCCTGCCTACTGGTCTAATTTTGAAAAATCTTTTTAGAAATGAGTGCAAAAAAAAGACAAAGAACCTTTAACTTTTCGCAAGTATCTATTAGAAAAGATCATGAAAGTGATGATTCGAAATTCTTATCGTCGTCACATCAAAAATTGAGTTGGCAGGATGATGTGGATCACATTTACTCTGACCCAATAAATCAAGAAATAAACTTGAGCCCATACGATGCTCAATCATATAAAGATTTTGAAGCTAAAGCTACAGTACACCCAAACGATTGCTGTAATGTATTCCTAAAAGGATTCAGAGGTTATTGTCAATTTGTATTAGCTGGCATAATAAAAATATATATTATTAACATTTTTTCATTTTTATTTAATTTACAATATTTTAGGAATATGGAAAACACAATATACAGATGATATTAAAGACCGAGAAATAATTCTTAAATCGTTATTGAGAGAGCTGGCAATTTATTTAATCTTTATCATTATTTTGAGTATAAGTAAGCTTTCTTAACATCGCTTTTTTTCAAATGGAAAAAATTGTTTTTTTTTTAATTGTAGATATAACTTTATATTATATATTTGTTTGTAAATTTCAGTATCGTTTGGTATGACCAGCTCAATTATGTTTTACTTTACCAAATCTCTAAAAGGTATGATAAAAAAAATTTAAAATTACATGTAAAAAATTTGCTTTGAAATTTAGTAAATTATTAGCTAATTTGTTATATAAACCTTGAAAACTAGAAAAGTTTTAACAACAATCAGCTGCACAAAACTTATATATAGAAAAATTTAATGTACAAAATATTATATTCAGCTTGATGTTTTTTTTAATTTCTTCATCACAAATACATATTAAACTAAAAATAGAACCAACTTAGTACTTAGTATATTGACTGTGAAACTGCTAAACCTCATGTTACAAGTTTTATAGATTTTTTATAATTCGACTATTCAGATATCTTGTCCCTCCTGGTAAGTCAAAATATAAAATTTTAATGTAGTTTTAAAAATGCACACCAAAAGAACCAACATGAACACAACTTATGTGCAACATGGCAGTACTAAATTTTTTTGTTACGTTGTTAATATTTAATAATATTTTTTAATATACTTATGTTTTGCAGCTGTTAATAAAATTTGTTTAAATTATCATAGAATTCAAGAAACCCTTTTACTAACAGACCGCATCAAACTAGATCACTAGCCGTAGCCATTTTAAAACTAAACATTTATTAGAAGATAACAAAAATACTTAAGTCACAAAAAAAAATTAAGAACTTAAGTATTAAGAAAATCCACTGGTAATCATCCTACACAGAAAACAAAGCGACACAAATTTATATTGACCCCAGCTTACAATATATAGAAAAGACGTCTTTTGAACAATGCTTTGTTGAAAAGACGGCTTTTTAATAAAGCATTGGTTTTCCTTTAAGTGTTGGCTCAGTATGCTTTATACAATATTGTAGCTTGATTAAGTTCACATATTACAAAAATTGAGTGCTTTTATGAAAACAACATTTTTTCTATTACTAAATGTCCTCGACTTAATAGCACCAAGTTATATAAATCATTTAAAGGTTACTTTTAATTAATTTTTCTAAAAAGCAAATATTACCAGTCTGTAAAAGATTTAAGTAAGTTGCACTAGATTACATGTTATTAACTGTTAACTAGTTTTAACTGCTAACAGGTTAAACACTTTTAGCAATGTTTAAAATGTGTTAGATTAAATGAGTATCCAAGATTTCAATTCTATAATAAAACTTTTCTTATGAGTTAAAAAAAACAAAAAAAGTCATGCAATAAATCTAAATATTCTTAACTAATAGGTCAGAACCGTGAATATGTTTGATTTTTTTATATAAAATGTTCAGTATTTTTAGAATAATTAGGTTTACTAATTGATTTTTTATCGTGTATTAGTTTTTTATTTTTAAATATAATACTTAATAAACTATTTAGATCTATTTACTGGTCCTAGTCCTCCATCAATCTTAACATTTGAAAATGTAGCATCAATGGATGATTTTTTCAACGTGAGTACTACTTTTTGTTGTAATTTTTAGTATAGTCATTTTTTTTTAATAAGGTTTATAAGAAATAGATACTTTTATTGTTTAACTTTAAAGTTTAGAAATTGATTTTAGTTATAAATTGATATATTCTAAATTAACAAGTATTAATTACATTGAAAAGAATTAAAATACATTTAAGGACAAAGATGGCGCAAAACTGTTTGTCTGCACAAAGACTGTTAAATAGAAGTAAAAAGAGCAACTCAATTAAATTAAAAAAATATTATCGACCAATTTGCAGCTATAAAGACATAAAAAAAAAAATTCATTCGACTTTTAACTTTTTTTGTTCAACGTCACTAAAATACTAATACATACTGTAATAGTATATTAGTGAAATTGAATTATAATTTCTGGATTAAAATTTTTGGGGCTGCATTTTTGTTGTTGCTACGGTACTGATAAAATAATAAAAAAAGTAGTATTTTCATATTTAGGTTTTCAAACTGCATATTTTATCTACGACTAAATTATTTACCTTATCGATGAAAGGGTTTCATTTGATTTAAAAATATTGCGATGAAAGATCTTTTTGCAGTTGCCAGGCTTTTTTTTTTTATTATGCTATATTTAACATTACCCATTAGGGTAATGTCAAATATAGCGAAAAGTGCTGCGACTGTTTCAGTTAATGAGCAACTTATATCAGAATATGCCATTGTTATTAACGGGGCCGTCTCGAAAAACCATATTCCACTTAATAACAGTTTGATATTATCAAAACTATTACGCAGTAAGTTTTTTTTTGTTATTCCAATGTCTAATAATAAACAAATATTATCCAAATCCACATTTTTGGATTGTAATAAATCTGAAAAGTTATTTATTTGTGCTGGTATTTCAATATTTGACATCAAAATGCAAAGGCAATCTAAATAATCCATTTTTCTTTCTTTTACCTGTTATTTCTCCTTTTTTTTTTGCTTTCCAAAATAATTTAGATAAAGTTTTTATTACATCTACATATCTTTATTTAACGGCTATGCAAGGTGATGAACGAGACTTTATTATTAGTTTTTTTAACTTTACTTTTGATTCTCTTGTTATTTTTGTTAATATGTTCTATCTATAAATGCTAATGCCAAAAATTGCATACAATTCTTTTATACTAGAAAAAAAGTTCTTAATATGTGGCACACCATTTGTAGCATCATTTATAACTAAGTTTAAATTTTGGATGACACAATGAATAAATGTTGCGTTTAATTTTTTTTTACTCTTGTTTGTACTCCAGAGTAAATGCCATCGTGTTGTTTGCTCCATCATAGACTTATCCCCTACATTTTTTTTAAATCAAGACCAAAAGATTTTAAATTATCGATAATTTGATTTGATATTGTACTTGCTAATTAATTGTAAACTTAAAAAACCTATATATATTTTTTTATTTTTATTAGGAGAGTATATATTTATGTTATAAATAATTTTAACAAATCAAAAGGACATACTAAGTTGGTCTAATTTAGATAAATCTTGAGTAGTATCAATAATCATTGAAAAAAAAACTAATTTGACATCATTGATAACTTTTTTACTAAATTTTTTGACAAAATTTTCCATCTGAATTCGAAGCGATAAATAATAACATGGCCGCAAGACTTAAAGTTGAACATCTGATAAAATAAATTAATTATATATATTTTTAGGCAACCATTTACCTTTAAAAAGAACTACTATTTTTAGCTAATTTCAGTGCTATTTTGATAAGTCTTTTTAAAACTTTTGCCCAAAATGTTTTTTCATTTTGAACATTTTTGAGTAACATAGTATCTATTGTTTTTTCCTCATTCGATTGTTTCAAAATAAAAAAAAGCATTTATGCTAATCTCAGAAATTTCAAGTATTTTCAGTAGATATTCCGGAATTTGTAACGTTTTTATAGTAATTTATTGAGAAAGTACGCTTTTTATCATCTTTAGGAAAAGGTCCTTTGAAACGACAAGACAAAATGAATTATTTATCTTCTACCGTTATAAAATTTTTAAAATTTGCAAATTAGATATTGGTATGTGTGTTATTTTTAATACTGAAAAACTTAATAAAAATTTTCTTTGTCGGCTTGTGCTCCTAATAACTCTGCCCCTCTTCGATACGCTTGAGTATTTTATATATTTGTGGAAGGACTTTTTTTATTTCTACAATAAAACATTTAAAACTTAATTCACAAAATAACTTTTATATTCAAAAAATCATCTTTTTTTCCTTCAGATTATCTACATTATTGCTTGCTTTTCTCATTTCTTTATATTTGTGATTTCCTTATCAGTTTATTTATAATTTTATACAAAGTCGATAAAGCATTTTAAAACTTTAACTTTACTGTCATTCATAATTACAAATCTAATAAATTTAATGGCTTGATCGTTAAGACGAACGTCAAAAGTGCTTTCAAATATCACAAATGTAATTAGTTTGCTTTAGTTTATTTGAGATTATTTTTTCTCTCTACAGCTCCCAATGATAATCTATGAAAACATTTTGAATTTTTGGCAACTAATAAAATACACTATATTTACCCATCCTAATTTTTACAAAAAATTTATGCAATACTAGATTGCACTTAACCTACAAGTAAACAGGCTCTGGAAAATTTCAAAAAATTGTTTCAAAAAATAAAGCGAATTGTACGGCAAGCTTTTTATTTGAACTTAATGAATTTTCTAATATTTCGGCAGTATGTGTGGTAGATCTTTTCTTTCAAACAACATAGTTATAAACTATTTTTTTCTTCAAAGGATGTTTCTTCACACGGGAGATATATTTGAGGAGTGCTCCAGTTTTTTTATTCAGTATTTATTCCATTGCCTTCTTTTTTTTTATTGCATATAGTACGTGCATACGTACTATATGCAATAAAAAAAAGAGGTATGGAAGGGAGGCTGTTACCCAAAAACATAGGAATGCATACAAGGGAGAGTGGGGGTTTAAAGACAGCGAGTACATACGCGGTTGACTATCATTCTATATTTATTCTAAATCTTGATTTCTTTTTTTTTTTTAACGAAAGCATTAAATTTCTCAAATTAAAAAAAATTAATATTACGTTATGTAACAAAGAAATGCGTAATTCGAAGAAAGAAAAAATAACAAAGAATCTATTATATATTGTTTGAATTCTAATCAAAGCTACTTTTAAATTGAAATATAAATAATTTTAATAATGAATAGAATTTTTATAAAATTTTAAAAATCAGCCTTTTAATAAAAATATTTGTTGCAAAAACATTAAAAGTCAACTTTGATAGAGCCGGAAAAAAAACATTTCAAAGTATCTCTTCAATTTTTCAAAAAATTATAATTAAATAAAGACATATTTCATCAATAAAATGCCAAAAAATGGCTGCCCCAAGCTGCCCTGAAAAAAGATATGCAGATTTAAAATGTCTGGTCATACTGAAAATGTAATTTAATAAACTTTAATGCATTAAATAAATCATCATTAGCAAGAAAATTAGGTAGTAAGTTAATATGAGACTTAAACCCAGCATGTGAAATATTGTCTATTTACTAAATCTCAGGTTGATACCTTATTCCATTAATTAAGTATTGCTATTTAATGACAAAAAAAGAGTCAGCTTAAAGAAAAAAATTAAAACCTGAATATCTCAAAAGTCGTAAAGAGTTGGAGATTACAACTTTCAGATTTTCGTCGTTTTCATAAACCCTATAGAAAGCCGACGCAGGCCTATAACATATATAAAAATTAACAAAATCCAAACAAGGGGTGTCATTTTTTTGGTTTTTCTGCTGATTTGATATGGAATTACCCATATTTAAAATTCCTTGCAATAGTCTATTAAATATTAGCACATGGAAAAGAAATTACTTCGAAATCTCATGCTTTCATAAGTGCTTCGGGTAATGAAGCCCAAAGTTTTTGCAACAATATCAATAAAAGATATTGGTTACATCATATTCGCAAGTATTTAATGGAAGACAATGTTTTTAATGTATTTACACGTCCAACGAGAATAAAGTCCAACTGTAATTTCAATTTAGGTATAAGATTTAGAAATAAAACGTATTTTTGCATGAGTATTTACTGATCTTTAGATACCAAAAAAATTTACGTAAGTAAAAGTAGTGACAAAATGATTATAACACATCAGACGAGGGTAACGATATTTATCAATAAAATGAAAACTTTAATGAAAGTTTAGAAAGTATAAAGTTTAATAATTATAAATTGAATGAGTTTATCTGAAAAATAAAAAAAACTATAAAAAAAAATAACTTTTTTCTTATAATTTTTCCTTGAAAATGGTATGCATTGTTGAGGAAAAAAAGTTTTGAAAATTATAGTAATTCTTAATTCGCAAAAATCAAGTAAGATTTATTAATTAAACAGATGAATCGAACTTATGAAGTGAGCAAGTTTAAAGCAAAAGTTTGGGGCTTTTGACAAACCTAGTAGCGGCAAAGGTTTCACACCAAATGAAATTAATGTTTAAAGATAGTTTATCACAAGATAATATATAATAAAGATCATAAGTATGGGCGCCGGCAGGGGGTGAAAGTAGGTGCACGTGTACCCCCCTAGCTTTTGAAAAAAAAAAGAAATGCACAAAAAAAAAAATTAAAAAAAATCTTTCAATAATACTTTGGCTACTAAGGTTTAAGGTTGACATTTTTACTAATAACTGATTAAATCAATTATTCGTGATTTACAGGTGATTTTACATAACTATTATACAAATAAATGAACTTTAAGGAAAAAAAACTTGTAGATATAGCCAGCCAAGCAAGCATAAATCAATGCTAATTTTTTTTTTTTTTAACAAGCACTGTAAACAAAAAATGGTACGTTTAAGTTTAAACAAGAAGTATTTAGGCAGTTAGTAGCAGGAGAGTTAGTTAGGCAGTTAGTAGAAGTAGCACTGAGAGATTCAATAAGAAGATATCTAAGTCTTAAATTTAAAGTAAAAGAAGAGAATAATAAAAAAATAGAAAATCGTAAATTT